ATCATGTCTGCAAAACTGCGGTCTGTCATCGGGGAATCTCGCCAAGGTCTCGCGCTCCTTTTCATCAACAATATTCCAGAGATTTTTTTCTTGCCAACCTTTTCATGCTCCAGATCCGGTGAATCGGGAAGTTGCAAGCCGTTAGCTGGTTCAAGTCCCATGCTCCATTTTTCGTACTGGTTGCTGAAGCCATTGTCGACAGTAACAAATGTTCCCAGACTTTGATCCGAGATAGTAAAATCATTTTTTGGCCGCAGAAGACCTGAGTCCGGAAAATTCGCTGCCATGCTAGTAATTGTTGTACCATTTGTTGTAGTTACAGGTACAATTGGTCGCGATGGTACTAGTTGACGGCTAGCTGGCCGGCCAATTGGTGTTGGTGGCATTCCGGCATTCGCTGAAGCCAACATTCCCTGAGGCCATTCGGATGCACCCCGTACGAGACCTGAAACGGATAAAAGAGATTTAAAAACAAAAAAGAGGCAAGAAATCTTTTAATTCATTTTAAAATGCCTAATGACAGAAATTTTGACTCCTAATGATATTCAATCCCGTAATTTTAATAACTTATTTTTTGCGGTACTTGCATTAAATTCTGCAGTACTCAGGTAAAGTTCGGTGGGATTTAATTATCTTTTTTCATTTGTTTATATTCACTAAAAACAGTGCAAATTAGTGAGATGAAAATCTAATACCTACTTGCTTGCCCTAGTTACTATTTTCACCTGCTTATCCATGCTCATAGAAGTGTTAAATTATTTACTTAATTAGGCACTAAATTGCTTCACAGTGGGATCAAAACATCAAAAAATCAAAAGATATTACTTCCTATTTTGTTCAAATTACGACTCAGAAATTAAGAAAAACACACCAAAAAAAAAACAAACGTACCCATAATGCTAATAATTTGTTGGCGAGCCAAACCCGGATTGAGAGGCGGGAAATCAAGTTCGCATGTTGTCTGCAGAATGTTACTGGTATCTGGATTGAAAGACAGAAACACCTGTAGTCGAGTATGCAAAAGCTGTTTGAAAACCATCACTTCAACGGGAGCTGCATATTTCATAAGACGTGATGTAAATTCGATAGTTTGCGATAGTTTTTCTGCCATTTGCTGTATCTGTAAA